CTTGAGATGCTGACATTCATTTAAAAGGTTATCATAATTCAGGTTTTTGTGATAAATATTAGCCCATTGTTCACCCTTTTTCTTTAGTGCATTAGAAGCAATGGTTTTCAATTCACTAAAGAAAGAAAATAGATTTCCGATCTGTGAATAAACCTCTGCACATTTTGTCAGTTCAAAGATTAGAGTGTCCAGAATAGGGAGGAAAGTTTCCATTTTGAATTTCTTTGGTTTTACTGAAAAGTACCTTTTCTGCTGATCTATTAAGACACACATTTCATTGACATTCTCATTTTTTTCCATCACTGTAATCTGTATCTGGACACATAACTCCTGGCTTTGAATTCACATTCACTATTTGTCTCTAGTTTCCTGAAAATAGGTTTTCATTGACTCAAGAAGATTTGTGGCAACAAGGATGTTCACATCCCTTGATTACAGGACCTTGCTTATTTTCTTCATTCTTTCTAGCATATCATTTCAAAGAATTGTAAGAAAGATTGTTTCAAGGTTTTCCATTTTTTTGCTCAATCCTTCTGCTTCTCACCTTGTATTCACTTGCTGTTCATTGTCAGCTGATAGAGAATCCAGTCCATTTCTATTTTCTGGAAAATAGGTTTTCATAGACTCAAGAAAATTTGTGGCAACAAGGATGTTCACTTCTTTTGATTCAGGAATGGTAGTTTCGTTTTTTTTCTTTCTCTCAAATCATTTCAAAGAATTGCGAGAAAGTGTGTTTCCAGGTTTCCCATATTTTGGCGCAATCCTTCTTCCTCTTGCCTCGTATTCACATTGTTAACTGATAGAAGATCTAGTGTATATTTTATTTTCTGGAAACCCCCATACAGATCTTGGACACCATACGCTTGACAACAAGATCTTTTCTTTGAGACGATGTCAATAGATTTCAGCGATGAGTAAAACCAGCAAAAAATGAATACAAATGTTGAATAAAGTCAAAGAATTTTACAGTCTATAGACAACACTCTGCTGCTTTAATTCCCACCAATTTCAGGCTGTGTCCAACGCAGGGGACATAGATTGCAAACACATTAAGTTGTTGAATTTGTGCATGTAATCCAATACATCGTTCAGACATATTTGAGACGTTATCGTAAGACTGACAACGGAATTTTGATAATGGAATTTTGTTCTCAGTCTGTCTATATTTCTGAGATGAGGTATTATGTACAGTATTTACATTAGTCGGACTATTGTCCTCATCTTTGTCGCCATATTTGTCACAACGTTTCGGCCGTTGTACGCTCCGGCCTTCATCAGGTGGTTGGAATTTCGAACTGAACCCTTTATTTCGCTCACTGGGGCAGACTGTTCTAGTTCCACGTGCCATGTTTGATGGATGTCAGTTATCAGTTATCTCCTGCTAATTTTCCATCTGAAAGTTCTCCACTGCCTTAACCAGGTATTGAACTCACCTTCTTTGGGACAGTCACTGGATCTAACCAACGCTTTTATCCACTGTGCCATGTGTCCTTGAGGATTTTGTTCTCAACAAGAAAATCCACAACAGTGTCTGTTAGATCCTTTGCTCCATGAAAAAAATATGGGTATGAACATCAATATACGTTCCACATGCTCACAGTTTTTTATGTATCGGACAATATCAGTCCATCTGTGTTTGAGATGTCGAAAGTGGAATCTACACTTATTGAATAATATTTTAACTCTCTTACTTCTTGAAGAATAGTACAAAGAACATCTTCTCCCATTAATTCAATAAATTCCTCACAAATATTTGCAGATAAATATGACGGATTCCCACTTCCAGGATTTCCATACATATTGAGATATTCTTCCAAGAAAGTGTAAAATTGCCTCAGCAGCTCTAGTATACGTAAATAGTAGACAATTTTTGCTAACCCAATAATTTGATTTTCTCCATGAAATGGCAGATCTCTGGGGGCAAGAAAGTGAGTTACAGAAACCACACGTGTCAACACTTTATGCCAATATTCCTGCTCTGAGCAATGGTACTCAAGTAATAAAGAATCCATACTTCCAGTTTCTTTATGTCTTATTAAATATGCCGTCATACACTTTTGATGTTCTTTTCCATTTTTATGATTTACAATAACATGGCTGTGCTTCTAGTCATTGAACACCGATATAGCAAAGAGAGAATCTTTCTTGGATAATAGACGATATACAAAGTAGTACAGACGACATTGTGATGGGGAATCGAGTAGCCATTCACGCTTTACCCACTCACCATTCCTAAGCTCCACTTCTGCAAGTGTGACTTTGGTATTGCTACAGTGGGGTTTTATGGGGACCCACAATTTTAAGTTACGTAAAAATATTGGGGTGTGGGGATTAGTCTCAAAACCCCGACTTCAGAACAAATTTTATTTGTTTGAATAAAAACAAATATAATACAGTAATTATATAAATACTAGTTTAAAAAGATTTATTTAAAAATATGTGAATGTGGCTTAGTCCCCTAAAGTCCTCCATTAAGAAAGTACGACCATGGTATTGTTGCTGTGGGGTTTTATCTAGACCCACATAGTTAATAATACTTTTTAAAAAAATATTGGGGAAGGAGGCCTAACCTCCCTAATCCTCACTTCTGCAAGTATGACCCTGGTATTGCTATAGTGGGGTTTTATGGGGACCCACAATTTTGAGTTATTTAAGAATATTGGGGAGTGGGGCGTAACCCCATAACCCAGACTTCAGAACGGCTCTAAAATCAATTTCAGTCAACTTTTATTTCATAGTTACCAAATTTTTCTCACTTGTCAAAATTACCGAATTTTCCGTTATCGAATTTTCTTAACTTCTATTTTCCATGCAGATGAATAAAAGCCAGTTCAAAAAATGCTGCTCCATTGTACTACGAAGCAGATTTTTTATAAGTTTCAGTCTTGAGAAAGAAAATTCTCCTATACAGCATTGACGTCCGAACATATTGTTTGATAAATAACTTACCTTCATATTCTCAACTCCAGCTGTTTTAATCACTCTGCGTGAATTTGAAAGGTTGCTATTATGATTCTGACATAACGGGGGCCCACCACGAATCCAGAAATCTATCTTGTTAGTACCATTAATGTTCCATAGACCTGGATCTTTATCTTAGAGTGCAATCTCTTTTACTCTTAGAGATTTGAGTATTTCCTTTTGTAAAATGTCACCAGTAGCAGCAACAGGCAATGATGGTATGTCTGCTGAAACTGCATGCTTGGTAGTAAGAATGAACGTAGATGTGGATGCTATATCTGAAGGAACGGTATTTGTATCTGACATTGCAGGATGTGATGTAGATATTATATCCAAAGGTATTGTATGAGTGTCTGTCGTTGCACTATGTTAATTTTGGAAATTTTTCTATTTTCTCTTTCTCCTCTGCTCAAAACATTACGTTTTATTTCTGGTAAAAAACTTATTCATCTGTAAATATATAACTTAAATATTGAGTATTTCGACCCACACCAGAATATAGGGTTATATTGTATAAGTATGCATGCAACAGGACCTAAATGCTTAAACATTCTGACTCTATAAAGAACATCTCCTTCCATTAATTGTACGAACAGTATTTATTCTTAACTCTCTACTGTGTGCTGATTCACAAAACCGCCAAATAAATCCTAGATCTGTCTTACATGCGTAGCTCGGGTTTCTGGCACTGATCTAGCCACATTTATGTATAGGTCTACATGACTACATTCAACACTTTCACAATTAAAATGTCTGTCCCTTCATATGTTCACAATATATCAATTTTGACATGAGGCGGACCCACTACGAATCCAACAATCTATTTTGTTAGTACCATTAACGTTCCATAGACCTGGATCTGTATCTTGAATTGCAATCTCCTTTTATTGACACAAATTTAGATATTTCCTTTTGTAAAATGTCACCAGTAGCAGCAACATGCAATGATAGTGTGTCTGCTGAAACGGCATGCTTGGTCGTAAGAATGCAATCTCCTCTGTTGCCACAGATTTAGGTATTTAGTAAAATATCAGCAGCAGCAACAGATGATAATGGTATGTCCACTGAAACTGAATGATTGGTAGCAAGAATGGACGTAGATGGGGATGTTATCTCTGAAGAAACAGTACTAGTGGCTGATGTTGCAGGAGTGGATGCTTATGTAGATGCTATATCGGAAGGAAGCACCTGTGTTGAGCCACGATGTTAAATTTGGAAGTTATCGTTATCCTATTTTCTCCTTCTCCTCTGTAGTTCTCTCTATGTTCCACTCAGAACATTAGGTTTTATTTCTGCTGGAAAGCTTATTCATCTGTAAATATATATCTTAAATATTTAGTATTTAGTCCTACACCAGAATGTAGGGTTATATTATATAAGTATTCTTGCAACAAGACCTAAACACTTAAACATTCTGCTTCTATAATTAACATCTCCTTCCATTAATTGTACGAACAGTATTTATTCTTAATACAAACTCTCTACTGTGTGCTGATTCACAAAACCGCCGAACAAAACCTAGATCTGGTTTACGGACGTAGCTAGCATTTTTGGCACTGATCTAGCCACATCTATATATAGGTCTACAAGACTACATTCAACACTTTCACAATTAAAATGTCTGTCCATTCATGTATTCACAAACTATCAATATCTTGTAATTAGTACTGCATCATAAATTCATAATCTTAAATAATCACTACATGTTTGCCATACAAGCGTTCAATGTCATGATTGAATCTTAGGTTCAATCAATCATAATCTATGCATAGCTCTATACCTGAGTTCATATATAATGTATAAATATATCCAATAATCATGTTATTGCTATTAATAGTGCTACAGAAGTACAAATTGGATGAAGAAAAAACATTCTTCAATAGAAAATATTTTAAACAAACACAAATACAAAATGATTTTTATCAAAAATGTCTGAAATGTAATATGAGTGATTTTCTTTGTTGTTGTGAAATGCTGAATTGCTGTTTTAGTTTTGAAATGGAAATCAAAGATTCTGACGAATCCCCAATTTGTCACGGTTACGACTCAAAGGAAAATAAAGTGAGAGAGAGAGAGAGAGAGAGAGAGAGAGAAAAGAAAGAATGAAAGAAAGAATGAGAGAGAGAGAGAAAGCGAAAGAAAAGGAGAATAAAGAAATACTACCAACGATAGAGTTTTATAACAATAAAACTAATTTATGTACGAAAGTAAAAATATAAATACATCACAATTAAAAAAAAATATTACAATTAAACAGTCAAAACAATATTGATTCAGTCTAGGTGATATTTAAGAATTAAATCAAACCAGAGAAAAAAAGAAAAGATATTTATCAACAGTGGTCTTGGTCAGAGTACAAAATAGAAATGAGTTTTACCGACGATTCTGTTCTAGGACTGAGCGAAGACTGATCGTCTAGAGTCAGGGTCAGTTCTTTGATCTTTTCTGTGATAGCAAAATTGTCTGCATGTGAACTGAACTGGTGAGACAAACCACTCTTCCATTTATTATAGGTGGGCGGCCTCTTTGAAGAAAATCCTCGCCATTTCCGGAGACTTCTCGGTCAAAAGGGGACATTCTCCCATTTTTTTTCATTCGAGAACCAACTTAAATAAAATGGATCTTTCTATTAGAACATATTTTCACCAATGCACGTGGCTTGTCTTAGTAATTTCTATTTTTAGTGTTTCCTAAAAAGGAGCTTCGGTAATACTAATCACTTAACATACACAATTAGCATGGAGCTCCTATGCTCGTGGGGTCCCTGGGCATGTGCCCATCGAACCCATGCGTTAAGACGGCTCTCCTGTACCCTTCAATGTGCAAGTGGTTTAAAGGATAATGTCTCGGAATTGTTAACCGTATATCAGATTGAGTTTTGTTATATTCACACGCGCAAATAGACTTGGAAAAGGTAAGAACTAGCTTATTTTCTCCCAGATATGGGTTAAATATTAATACTTGTACCATTAAATGATTATTATCTCCAAAAAAAGAATCTCACAGTCTAAAAATATTTTCTGTTTTTAACCTGAACCTGTTAAAGGTTGATAAGCCGTAGAAAACGGATAAATCTTTCGAGAAGTGCTCCACCAAAACGAAACAGATAATATGGATGAGTATTATTGCCAACTGGAAGCATTGAATAAATGTTTCCAGAAAAAAAGCCTATCATTGTTTAATCGTAAACCCGGATTAGGATTACGGCAAAATCAAATTGAAGCCTCGGTTCTCGCTCGATCACCGCAGTTAACCAACTTCGAGCCTGGTCAGTACCAAGATTCTCTGAATGAGAAATCAAAGAGCCCAGTTCAAGTCGGATTCAAATACCCTTGAGCGATCATGAATCGAAAAGCAAGGCGAGGTATTTACTCCTATGAATTTATATAAGACCTTAAAAGTTTTTCCCAGGCTGTTAAAGGAAAGTCGTGTTGCATTTACAGGATATTGCAAGAATATATAATAATGGCGCTCACACTCGAACACGAGTTGGCTAGCTAGTCCCCATTGCAGACGTCTGCTCATACACATTTGTGTATTTCAATACCAATAGAGCCCAACTGTGGTTTATACTACAACTACGACAGAAAGAGAACTTTCTAACCACTCGGCCACACTCCCATATATTGAACCAGATACCAAGGGAATGATTATATTACTATCGTGGGCATCTCGGCGTGGTGTAATGGTTAGCAAGCTTGTCTCGCTAGATCAGTTACGACTGAAAAGTGAGTTCGCTCCTCACTAGATGCCCCATACTTTCGGCCTTGTGCCACATCTAAGCTACGCTTGGAAAATAACTATATTACTATCGTATATTTCAACGTACGAGACGACCCGAAATCTATATAATTTTCCATGATTTTATCTGATATCCGTTGTATAAGACGATTGAAAACTAGCGGAACTTTTGCAAATTGTTCTGCAATCCTCTCTTGGAGATTGTATTTTAATGGGAAATGAAGGAGTAAAGTAGTTTGAGTACATCATTTAGTGAATTAATGGACAGTGGCTCGGATTGAGGAATCGGAGAGCCGAGTTCGAATTCCAGTCTAATCCATTACATCCACTTACGTGCTAATACCATTAAGAAAGGGTATGAATCCTCGTCTTCTCCCCCTGCTATGGGTAAATAGCAGAACAGCCCGGGTTATACAGCCTTGGATGGCAACTGGTCTAACGCAAAAAGAAATGGCAACCTACTGCGGGAAAAAATTTCCTCGTCATTCATGTATCGAAAGATACATGATCAACTATGCGTGTATCACGCATGACACATGACTTACTGAGTGATATCATTATAATGTGAATTGTTTCAACTAGAAATATTTAGTTGCGACACGGAAGCAGTTGTTAGCCTACCACGATCCATGTTGCAAGCATGCTAGCCTACTAACAAGTGCCGATACACTACAGCATTTTAAATTAGCTTTCTGTTGTATTAGACGAGCCTCTATTTTGGGAGATAATTATTTAGATTTAAAGTTAGCTTTATACATGGAAATATACGGTAAATATAGAAGTTTTATGTATGGCGGGGTAAACAGATATATTTTAAAAATAACGTTAAACAACAGGTAAAGAAGTAAACACAAAAATATATATTTTTAGTTTACTTCTTTGCCTGTTTAAAGTAATAATTAAATATATCCATTTTTACACCATACTTAAATTATGTACCGCTAACAAATTTTTTTAAAGTATTTGCAGACCAGGTACACATCGATGGAGATTAGTAGTTTGAACTATCCAGTTCATTGATTCACAGGGAACCCACCCTGCCAACCCTTAGGATGTCTGATGCTCAACTCCACGAGAGCACCTCTTTGCAACTGCTTGGTCTCACACCATCCGCTGACCTGAGACGGAACAATTACATTGAATCAATTGCTTCATCCACCGCAAGAAAAGTTTCTCTCACCCGAGCCCATCCTTCAAATCTATAGATCAACCATTCCCCCTTGCATGGAATATTGCTGCCATATATGGTCCGGAGCCGCCGCTGTTCGCCCTAAGGTCCTCGACAAGATCCAGAGACGGATATGCAATGTGGATGGTCCTGATCTGGCTTCTCGTCTACAGTCGCTTTCTCACGGACGTGCAGTCGCCCGCCGTCTGTCTTTTCTACAAATACTTTCACGGTAACTGCTCCGACGAGCTAGTTTCGCTAGTTCTTAGACTGCATGAATTTAAGCGTGCTACTAGGCTGGTATTACGGTCCCACCGTTTCACTGTCGAAACAGTTAAATGTAGCCGTCTTTTCTACTCGAAGAACTCCATATCTCGCACCTTCCGTCTGTAGAATTCCCTTCCTATTACTTGTTTCCCTGATAGCTATAATCTCCAACTATTCAAATGTAATGTCAACTGACATCTCTATATTCCCTGACATATTCCCTGTCCTTCTCTTCATCCTTTCCTCTATCATGCCTCTTTATTCTCGCTTCCGCTCTGTAACCCCTTGCGTACTAGTGGTATTCCGCCTTGCGGTAAAATGCTTAAAAAAAAATTATAAAGGTAAATAGAAGTGTCAACTCACCTTCCGTACTTTCTTGGTATTGCTCTATCTGACAGTCATCTTTTCAGGTTATTTTATCCATTTTTTCTAGGTTGATTAATTGTGTAGTGGTTCAAATTGATATGGAGTTTCTTTGCGTCACCTCCTGAAGAATTCTACGCGAGAGGTTTCGGCATTTGTAGAGCAGACGGAGTAATGTTATCGATAAGGAAGGGGAATATTATCCTGCTTGAATATATAAATTAAGACTAAAGAATCATTTATTTCATTTCCATCTTTGAAATGCAACGGTGCTTTATTTCCAACCTAATATTTTAGTCTGTCTCAGAAGATATAGTCGACTTCTTCATTTAGTTTTTATACGCGTAAGAAATTATTTAGATCAAAACAAACAGTGTGTAATTGCAAAAGTAGTAGGGGAATATTTACCCAGTGTTTGCAATTCAACTTTGGTAGGGCATCACACACACTATTAACATACCGCCCAGACATTTTACCAACGACTCAACGAAGACACCATTTTGATAGTTGACGTGAAACGAAATATGAAAACGAATGAACGCGGTTGACCAGAGATAAAATGGAGAAAATGATTGTTCTTGTTTCGCGAGGGAAGAAACAATTAATTAAAATATTGCGATAGTCTTTTTAAAACACTTTTTTTAAATGCACTTTCAAACAGAAAAGCCTTTTATGACGGCCATAAATTGGCATAAACAAATATTGAAATTTAAGAATCACGCTCTTGTTTTAATTTTTATGTTTATCTCTGACTAATTATTAGGGAAAAGGAAAAGAAAAACATTCTCAGATGAGAAAGAGACTTGAAGCAACAGGAATTTATTTCTACAGAAGGCTGCTGAGAATATCTTGAACCGAACAAATGAGCAAAGATGAAGTTTTAGGGAAAATGTAAACAAAAATAACACCTATAATTAAATTCAGGAAAGGAGAGTTGAAACGTCTAGGGCACCGTTGAAACTGAGGAAGGGTTACTGAATGAAGAATAACAAAAATGGGATGGTAATCTTTATAACAGCAACAAAATACAATACTCGACAGCGGCGTGAAGTAGGTAAACCATTGCTAGTGGTGGACTACTTAGTATATTACCCCCACTTACTATAGTTTCCAACGTATTTATGAGGATTTGGACATACCCTTTAGTGTTCATAGGTACGGTATATAACAGGCACATTATGAGGAAAGAGGGCTTGGAGAATTTAACATTCACAGTTTGTGTAAAATGACTGGAAGAACAGGGATTAGGAGAGAGAGAGAGAGAGAGAGAGAGAGAGCAAAAAGACGAACCTTACTAAGAGCTACAAAAGAGACAGGAACTTCTGGAGAGCCATGATCTCCCACTTGAATAGTGTTAGTCTTTCTCGAGGCCTTAGTGTAACTTTTTCTGGAACCCATATTTATACAGTTCGTGTGATCACAATACAGAATGCTTTCCTATTAAACTCTGAGTAATATTTTGATATTGTCAGTTTGGTTAACCTGAGCGCGTAAGGCAAA